CCCCACCACAGGATGGGCTGAAACAGCTCCCTGTGAGCAAGAAGGGACAGATTTTCCCCTGGGAGGCCCCTGTCCTCCTTGGGCCCTGGGTAGCAACAACACTGTGCAGAAAAGCAAAGCCTCAAGTGCCTCCTGCTCAGCTCGTGCCTGAGACAGGGCTCAGGGGCTGATGGTGCCCTGCCAGTGACAGTGCTGTTCCTCCCCTCTCTGCCAGGGCAGCAATTCATCTGTCACACCCAGAGGACGCTGTCACAGCCTCCCTCCAGCTGCAGCCAGGCCTCAGCTGGGCCCCACTGCTCTCAGCCCATGGACGTGATGTCCTGCCAGGACGGCAGACCTGCCCATCCCTAGGGCCCAGCCGAGGGATCTGCACTCTTGGCTGACCCCGCTCACTGTCAGGGGGCCTGTTCTGCTCTTCTTGCTCAGGGCCTGTGGGACGGCTCCCTGGCCCGGGAGCTCACGCACCCTGCCAGGCTGGCTGCCACTCCTGGCTTGCCCCTCCTCTGCAGGACAGCCTGGCCTCCATCAGCCCTTACACCTACTGCTTTGCCCTCAACATTTGCATCTTTCCCCAGAAGGAGAACTACCTCTGGATTAGTTCGAGTCATCTCCCACTGGAACAGCAGGAGGAGCATTAAGAAAAGCCCATCACATCCAAAATGCAGCCAAGGGAATAAAAACATCCACATGACAAGAAATAGAGGGAAAGCATCTCCCAGTTTTCAAAAGAAGGAACACCACAACCAAAGAGCCCCACCCAGAGCGCAGCTCACCTCTCTTTGGAATCTATCAACTTCCTTGACCTTTTCAGAATATCTCTTCTTCATTTCTTCCAGCTGGGACTGACTTCCTTTCTCTTCATTAACCCGGAGTTTCCTCCTCTCTATCCTCAGAAGCTTTTCCAGCCTGCACAGCAAATTAGTGAAGAAAACCATGAAACACAGGAAGAACCAGCCTTTCCCCCACAGTCTCACAGAAACAGCACAGACAGCATCCAAGCCTAGAATGGCTTGGCTTGGCAGGGACCTTAAAGATCATCCAGTTCCAAGCCTCCTGCTCTGGGCAGGGACACCTTCCACCAGACCAGTCTGTTCACAACCCCATCCAACCTGGCCTTGAACACTTCCAGCCATGGGGCATCCACAGCTTCTCTGGGCAACCTGTTGCAGTTCCTCACCACCCCCACAGCAACCAATCTCTTCCGAGGATCAAATCTAAACCTATTCTCTTTCCGTTTGAAGCCAATCCCCCTTGTCCTCTCACTACCTGCTCTTTTAAATGCACTCTCTTCATCCTTCTTGTGAGCTCCCTTCACACCCCAAAAGGCCACAATTAGGTCACCCCAAAGCCTTCTCTTTTCCAGGCTGAAGTGTTGCAATTGTCCCAGCCTTTCCTCCTAGCAGAGGTGCTCCATCTTTCCAAGCACCTTGGTGGCCTCCTCTGGACTCTGTCCAACAGCTGGAGGTCCTTGCTGTGCTGAGGAGCCCAGAGCTGGATGCAGCACTCCAGCTGGGTTCTCCCAAGGGCAGAGCAGAGAGGCAGAATGCCCTCCCTCCACCCGCTGGCCACGCTGCCTTGGACACAGCCCAGGACACAATTGGCTTTCTGGGCTGCGAGCGCACATCGCCGGCTCATGTCCGGCCTCTCCTCCAGCCCAAGGGCTTCTCGGCAGGGCTGCTCTGCCCCTCTTCATCCCCCAGCCTGCACTGATACAGGGGCTGCCCTGAGCCACGGCCAGCATCTTGCACTGGCTCTTGGTAAACCATCAGCAGATTGCCATGGGCCCACTTCTCCAGCTTGTCCAGGGCCCTCTGGATGGCATCAGCTGTGTCAACCACACCCCTCAGCTTGGTGTCAGCTGCAAATTTGCTGAGGGTGCACTCCAGCCCTTCCTCTGGATCATTAGTGAAGAGATTAAAGAACACTGGGCCCAGTCCAGACCCCTGAGGGACACCACTCGGCACTGATGGCCCTCAGCACTCTGAGCCATTGGTCACCACCTCTGCATGGCACTGTTCACCCAATTTCTTCTCCATCTAACAGTTCACACATCCAATCCATCTCTCTCCACTTTGGAGAGAAGGATGTTGTGGGGGACTGTGTCAAAGGCTTCCCAGAATGACAGGGAGATGACATGGGTAGCCCTTGTCCACTGAGGCAGTCGCTCCATCTTAGAAGGCCACCAGGTCGGTCAAGCAGCACTTGCCCTTGGGGAAGCTGTGCTGGTGCTTCCAATCACCTCCCTGTCATCCACGTGCCTTGACAGAGCTTCTAGAAGGATCTTTTCCTTCACCTCCCCAGGCACAGAGGGCAGGCTGACAGGTTGGCAGTTCCCAGGGCCCTCCTTTCTACCCCTTTCAAAGATGGGCACAGTGGGTTTCCCTTTTTCCCCTCACCTGGGACTTCCCCTGACTGCCACGACTTTTCAAATATCAAGGAGAGGGTCTTGGCAACTCCATCAGACCCTGTTGGCCAATGGAGGGCAATAATGCTGGCCAGATGTAGAAGATGGATTTCCAAGGAAAATGCAGGAAGAAAAAGGACTCTCTCATTACCACTCCAAACAAGCACGGACTTACCTTTCCAGTTTCTTGGCAAGGCATCTTCTGGTTTTAACTTCCTCCACATACAGCTCTTTGTACCTTTCCATCTCTCCCTGTGTTGCTTCTTTACGAGAAGCACTCTCTTCTTGGTTGGTTTTGATCCTCTCCAATTCACTTTCCAGATTTCTAATTCTTTCTTCCAACTGGATTCTCATGGAATCACAATGACTGTCTCCAGTTTGTCCTAGTGGGGCCTGGTGGGCTGCCTGTGCCTGAAGGAGACAGTGCACCCTCAACCACCACAAGAAAAAGAGAGCTCTGCCCAGCACAAAATTGCACACACCCACTTTCAAGGGCCCAGCCTTACTCAGAGAGGCGGCTCTGCCTCCTCACTCCCAGCAGCAACCAAGGCAGAACCCAGGAGCTGCCAGGGCAAACAATTCTTTGCATTGGGAAAGAAGCCCAAATGAGCACTCTGCTTCAAAGCTCCTAATGAAGAGCCCGTGGACACTGGGGAGAAATTCACTTACTTGCAAAACGAGGCTGACCTCTTGTAGCTTTGCACTTCTTTCCTGGTCAGCTCCTTCTGCCACCTCTCTTGTACATTGTTCTCTTTGGCTGCCATCCAGCACCAAAGTCTCCAAATGGTGGTGGTGTTTTGTCACCTCTTCTTGCAGCTGACATTTGCTCTTCTCCAGTTGTTCACACTTCCCAAGCAGAGTGGACAGCTCTTCTTGCAAAGCCTGGTTTAGGGCCTCGAGCTGCATGCCTGTTCCAGGCTCCATGTCCAGCTGCTGGGAAAGTTCACCACCCTGTGCACAGAAAAATAAAAGAAAAGGAAACTCAGCGTGATCTAAAGGCAGTGAATTCTGGGACAATCTCTCAAGGGGGTGGCCATGGCAACTGTATTTATCATCTACTGGAAATGAGCCTAGGAAACACTTGAAAGATTCCCCGACAGAAAGAAGAAACTTTAGACCTACTTAAGAATTTGGGAGACACTTCTGGCAACAATACTTCTGGGTCCCTTGGAGCTCATGATGAAACTCCTCATTTAGAATCTAAGAATTCCTCCAGTGTCCAGCACACCAAATACCCTCAGGGCTTTTGTAGCAGATGGGGAAAGGACCAGGCTGCTTTCTGAGCAGCCTCTGCTGAGGAGAAGGCAGAAACTGAGCTCCCCAGGCTCTCCAGGAAAACTTCATCTGACAGTTGCCCCACAGAAATAGGCAACTAGGCTCAAGAGTCACAAAAAGGCAAATTTAGCACCAGCTTACTGAGGCAGAGGCTTGCAGGGCTCTCGGAAGGGCTTCAACGCCATCGCTTGGCTGCTGGACAGTGCCTTCCAATCTGCTCTTTTCACTTGCAAAGCTTAAGAAGAAATACAGCTCTTATTACCAGAAAATCCAATGCCAGACAAACTGTGCTAAGGAACAGAAGCCACAGCAGAAGTGTCCTTCAAAATCCCACTGACTCTCCCCCTGTTTCCACCCAATCCCCCAAAGCCACAGACCCCTCGCTTCACTGGGTTCCTCTCTTACTCTTGCGCGTCTTCTTCCAGTTGGTTCACAGTCGGATTGGTCTCACAAGATGCCAACAGGAGGTCCTGCAGTTCCTGGGAAGAAGTTACTGCCTCTCTTTTCTTGGCATCCAAAGCAGTCTTCAAGTCAGGAACACAATGCTCAGACTGAAGATGCTTTTCTTCCTCCTCCCTCAGCTGTAAAATCACGGGAAGAATGCACAGTTGTCAGGGGAGCTTTTCCAGAGAGGAGCCAGCTGCTGCTGAAGAACTCAGGTGCTGCATGTCTGTGTGCATCCCCTCGGCCCAAAGAACTGCAATCCATTCAAGTCCCTTCAAAGCTTCACTTCTGCTCCCCAATGAACACACTGAACACTGTTTTGTCCGTTTTCAGGATGGATAGGAAGCAACAGGCACCCCCAGGTTTCTCCCTGTGGGGACAGGCTTTCCATACCTCCGCGCCAGCCCTGTCCAGCTCCTCCTGCAAGCGCAGATTATCTTCCTCCAGGTGAGCCTCATGGCTTCCAGGAACCACAAGAGCAGTCCTAAAGCATGCAAAATTTCATCGGAAACATGTCTGATCCTGCATCAGTTTTCCCCTGCTTGCTCCCAAAACAGCTCTTCCCCCCTTTCCTACAAGCTCCGGGAAAGCAAAGCCAAGTCCATGGAAGCATTGGAGAATTTCTCTTACAAGGGGCCTCCCTAAAGCAGCCTCAGCTACCAGCTCAGGCCATGCTGTTCAGGGCTCCTTGCACTGCTCTTCAAAGTCCCCCCAGATGCGGCTGCACAAACTCCCAGGGCAAGCCCTTCGACCCCCTGACCATCTCCATGGCAGGAAGTTTTCTCCTTCTGTGCGCTCGGAGCCCCTCGTGTCCCCTGGGACAGTGTTGGTTCTCTTTCCCCCAACGCTTCCCTTCAGAGCACTGAACGCACCGACTCTGCCGTGCCTTAAACCCCCCTGGCCTGCAGAGCAGCCACGCTGCTGAGCTACTGGCAAGTTTCCCCGGGGCTCTGGCTCTGGGTGGGGAGAGGGCACCACAGACAAGGCTTTCTTGCAGACCTCAGCGGGCAAAGGACGAGAGCCCCTGAGGTAGGAGAGCAGCCAAGGGCAGACCTGCATTTACCAGTCCCACGGGGAACTGCTTCCACGGGGCTGCTCCTTCTTTTTCCCAGCTCATTGCCACGCCCCTCGTCTGGGTCACACTTGCAGACTACCCAGAACACCCGGGTGCTGTTTTGACAAAGCCCTCACCTTTCCCCCTGGGCTTGAGCAGGCCTGTCAGCTGCTTTGTTCACAAGGCACTCCAGAATCTCCTCGTGCTCTTGCAAGGCTGCAAGTTTGAAGGGGGTAAATCCCCACTAAAAGGAGAAAGAATCCCCATTAGAAAGACACAGACAAGCTCTGCAGCTGTTGGAAAGAGCAGCTTTAGCCCCGTGCCAAGGTTACCTGGTTCTGAGCATCACTGTTGGCATGATGCTCCAGTAACAGCCCTGCTACAGCTGTGTTTTTAGAGAGGACAGCCAGGTGAAGGGCAGTGTTGCCGTCAGCGTCTGCCAGATTGGGGTCGGCACCGTGTTCCAGCAGAACAGCAACACATTCTTCCTGCTCCTGCTGGACTGCCTGGCAACAACACACCAAAAGGGAAAGACTTCCAACTTTTCCATCCCCCTCTGTCACAACTCCCTCAGCTCCTGAGTGCTGGCATAGAAGACCATCTTCAAAGATCAGCTAACAGAGGCTGTGCCGTGCCCATTGCAATAGGTGTGTTTCTATGGCCCTGTAGTGGAAGGAATCCTGCCAGACACCTCCCCTTTAACAGCCCAGCACTAAGCCCCACCTCCAAGCTCAGAAGGCATTGCACACACCTTCATCAGGGCCGTTCTCTTGAAGCTGTCAGCGAGGTTGGGCTGGCTGTTCTTCCTTAGCAGATATCTGACGACATCTGCATGGCCATTGGCCGAAGCCAGATGCAGAGGTGTCCTAAAAATTAAACAGACTCTCTTAACCCAGACAGACAAAGGACGAGCCCAAGCTGTGTCTGTACCCAGCACCCTGGGGACCCTGCCCGGACTCTGCTCCTCCTGCTGCTGCTGCTGCTGCTGCTGCAACCCTGCCCTGATGAGCCAGAGGGCAGAAGAGAACAGGTGAGGGCTGAGCAGCTGCAGAACAGCCCTGCAGAGAGAGCACGGCCAAGGGGCAGGTGGGCAACACGCGTTTGCAGCAGCGCTGGAGCCCGGGCGGCAGCTGCAAGCAGTGAAAAGCTCAAGAGTTCCCTGTCCCAGCTGACAGGGCAAATGTCACTTTTCAAGCCTTGTCCCTAAGAGAGGGCTGCCGAGGACTACTGCAGCTTGGCTCAGGAGCAGGCAAGGTGTGCCATCAGCGTGGCCCAGAACTCCCCGCATCTCCTGGTCTGGCCTGTCGATGCCGACTACCTTGACGTACCAGCGCCAGCGCCTCAGCCAGCCCAGGTCACCGCGGGCGGCCGCGCGGTGCAGCCTGCCCAGCCCCTGCTCCCGGAGCTGGGAGGCGCTGCTGGAGCTGGTGGCAGCCCAGGGCTGCCCACTGGGGCTGCTGGAGGGCGACTGCCGTCGCTTCTTGCTCAGAAGCCACGGCATGGCCCTGCTTGGAGCTCCCAGCAGCAGGAAGGGCAAGAAGGCCCCGGCGGGCTGCCGGGAGCCAAGTGGGGATGAGGAATGGGACGGGGCGAGGTTTAGGGGGAGGGTGACAAAGGGGCGAGAATAAGGACGGGCACAGGGTATGAAGCACAAGGCAGACGAGGTCGCCCTGCGCAGTGGTCGTGGCCTGCAGCTGCCAAGACGGCGATGCAGGCGCGCAATGCTCCCCGAGCGGGATGTGCTGCTGCTCCCCGAGAGGCTACAGCAGCTCTGAGCGCCGGCTGCGGGCACCAACAAAGCCGTGCCCGACTGGCGCCTGTGGCGTCACAATGGCTGGTGGAAGGCTCAGCACGTCAGCGTGGGGTGTGACAGAGGCCACGGGGCAGGGTGGGGCCGGGCGGGACAGGGCAGGGCGGGGCAGGTGTGAGGGCGGCCCTGCTGGGCCTTGTGGCAAGGAGGCGGCCTGGGCCTTGTGAGGGCGGCCGGCGGGAGTGGGCACTGCCCCGCCTCAGGGCGCCCGGGGCAGGGCCCGGGACGCTCCCACCGGGCCGGAGGCTGCGGTAGGCGCTGGAGCAGCTCCCGCATCACCCGCTCTGGCTTTTTGCTTCAGCCTGGAGCCGGGCTGCCTCTGGACACACTGCCATCAATGAGGCTCAGGAGAAAGTGGGGCCACCACAGCTCTCAAGAAATGCCCACCCAGCGCTCCAAGCCTGCCAGGCCAGAGTTCCAGGACAATTCCCCAACTCCTTTGTCTTGTCCCTCTTGAAGAGCAGACACCTCACCCCCTCTCCCCCTCACAACTGCTCTCTCCTGCTGCTTTGCCAGATGCCAACAGTGAATTTCTGCTCTGCTCCTCCACCAGCCAACGGGCAGCACACAGCAGGGCAGGAAGAAACTTTCAAAGACATCTTGTCCCACTTTGTCTCGATGACAACACCAACTGAAAGATCAGAGGTTCTGCACCAGCTTTCTCAGCGGAGGGACACTACAATGGACCACAAACAGGCTGAAGAAATTTCCCTTTTTCTTTATGGGCTACAAACTGATCTGCTTCCCACGGGATCAGGGATTTGCCTGTGTTTTAAGGCTATCAGGAGCTTACTCACTCTCTTCTGCCCAGAACACAAAGAGGAGGGCTCGAAAGCACTGCAAGAGTCTGGCAACTGAGTAGTAGCAATAGCTCACCTGGAGGCCATGATCTTAACACCACTGTGCTTCAAGCCTTCCCGGAGGAAGGGCACACATTTGCCTGGCCTCTGGGACAGGCTGAAGATGCAGCTGTGAGCAGAGCTGAAGGGAGCAGAGGACAGCTCTGGCTCGGCCTTCAGGCCTGGCTTCTCTTTCGGCCTTGAAGATGTCTGCTGGACTGATTTGCACTCAGATGGAGGGCAGAGAGAGAAGTCTTAACTGCCAGCCCGGGAAGAAAGCCTGTCCCAGAGGCAAGCAGAGGGAAGAAGAGGGGACAGCCTTGGGATGGGGGAATGGGAGAAGCAAAGCCGGCAGGGGGAAGAGAAGAAAACGAGGACACATCCTGGAGTCTTGATGGCGACTGCCGTTGGTTCTTGCGGAGGAGCCCCTCTATGCTGTGTGTGCTTTTGCACAGGCTGCACTGTGGGTATGGCCCTGCTCTGCTGGTGGCCACTGCTCACCCTCTGCACAGAATCACGGAAAGACTATCAGTCCCTGAAGAAAGGCCCTGGAATTCCCCCCACCTGGTGGATCTTTTTGGTGGAGGGTTCCTGGGTGGAATATGGGACAGACTAGATGGGACTGACAGGGTTTTGTTTTTCCCTGGGGCACCAGCAGACAAACAAATCTCCAAGAGTCGGGTGAATTCCCCTTCCCCCCGTTTGCCTGCACACACGGGAATCTGCTGAGGTTGGACAAGACCAAGGTGGTGCAGCCGGGTCAGGGCAACCCCCGGGATCGGTGCAGGCTGGGGGAGGAAGGGATGGAAGTCCCTGCTGGGAGAGGGCTCTGGGGGTGCTGGTGGGTGACAAATGGGACACGAGCCAGCCCTCTGCCCAGAGCTGGAGGCAGCACTGCAGGGGGGTCTCAGCTGAGCGGAGCAGAGGGGCAGAACCCCCCTGCCCTGCTGCCCACGCTGTGGGATGAGCCCAGGACACGGGGGGTTGTGGGCTGTGAGCTCCCATTGCTGGCTCCCATCCTGCTTTTCATCCCCCACTATCCCCATGGCCTTGGATGCAGGGCTGCTCTCCATCCCTTCAGCCCCGAGCCTGGCCCTTGAGATCTGGGGGCATTTGACACCCGCTGGCTCCTTTGATCCCCTTTCCCATCCCTCCCAGAGCCCAGGGAAGGACTGAGGGGCCTTGGCTGATTGTCCCTGACCCTCCCCTGCCCCGACACCAAGCTGTGCTCCTTGGGGACGGTGCTTGGACAGCCCCAGTCAGACCCTGTTTCCCGCTGTGCCCCCAAACCACCGGGTGCCCCAGGGGATGTGGGAACACACATGGACACGGGAAGGCACCCGTGGAGGTGGGAACACACACACCCAGACAGACACAGAGCATTTGTTTTGCTGCAGGGGTTTATTGATTCTTGCAGGGAAATTGCCAGGGCACCCAGGGGATCAGGGGGGTCCTCCAGGGATGATCATCTCCTCATGCCGCTGGAGGGGGCCAGGACACGGGTGTTACCACCACTTCCAGTCCTGAAAGACAGAGCCCCAAATGTCACCCCCGGTGTTCACAGGGACATGGGAGGGGCCTTGTCCTCACCCTGTCTGTCTGCAGGGAGCTGGGGCAGGAGAAGGGAATTGGATGCTGAGATCCATGTGGCCCCCAGAGCCCCTGAGCCCGGGATGCTCTGACACCTCCCCGAGCCCCTCCCTGCCCTCCCGGTGAGCCTGGGGGTCTGCAGAGCCCCCAGTGCAAGGCCAGGCTTGGGGGCAGCTCTGTCCAGCTGCCCCGGGACACGGAGCAGGGACAGCCCCCTGCGTGTCCCTCTGCTGTCCCCAAGCTCTGCCCACTGCAGAGGGCTCAGGGACCCCCCAGGGCCCTGCCAGGCTCCTTTGGGGGGCTGAGGACCCTCCCATATTTCTCACCTGGACATGCAGAGAGGCAGCCGAGCGTCACTGGCGCATCAGCTCCACCTGGTCAGCCACGGGGGGCTGGGGACAGAGGCAGGGTTAGAGACACACTGGGGTGGACTGGAACAAACTGGACTGGACTGGGACAAACTTGGCTGAACTGGGACACACTGGGATGTACTGGGGCACACTGGGCTGGACTGGGACCCACTGGGATTCTGGGGAGGATGGTGGCCATGAGAGGGGAGGGTCTGGGCCCAGCAGAACTCGGGATACCCACCTCAGACCTCTTCACTCGATGGACATCCATGCCTCCCTGGAGAGAGAGTGTGAGGTGTCACTGGTCACTGGGGTGTTCCCAGGCCCAGGAGGGATGGGGGGACTACATTTCCCCCCATTTCCCACACTGGGGACATCTCAACTCCAGGACTTACCCCAACACATCCACCTCCTCCTTGTCCCGAGATTGGCTGGGGAAGGAGAGCAAAGGTTTAGGCAGGATTGGCCCCTGTGGGGCTGGGGGAGACACATGGGTGTCCCCAGACCCCCCAGCCCATGGTTGGCCCCTGGTCTGAGGAGGAAAATGCCTTCTGCTCCCCCCAGCCCTACTGCACCCAGTTTCCCCTGGGATCCCTGTTCCTGCAGGGCCCAGGGTGGGGATGGAGACAAGGAGAGCCAGGGGAATTCAGGGCCTGCAGGAGGGTGGGGGGAGGACGAGGGGACCCAAAGAGGGTGAAGTCGGGGGAATTGGGGATCCCACAGGATGGGCATTGGGGTGTGCAAGGGATGGGACTGTGGGGGATGCAGGTGAGGAGGAAGGGATTGCAGTGGAGGGGACCCAGGGAATGAAGCAGGGCAGGGGTGGGGGCAGGAGAAATGGGGAAGGGGAGAAAACTGGAAGGGACTGGGAGGGTCTTTGGGACTGAGGTGTCAAGGAAGGGGATTTCTGGACACGAGTGTCATGGGCAATGGGAAAGGGAAAGGATTAGAGGAGAAAGAAGGGAAGAAATGGTGTGGGAATGATGGCCTGTGTGTGTGTGGTGGGGTGGACTGGGGTGTGTGGGAATAGAGTGGGGGCCCTGAGGAAGGGCCTCCCCGGTGCACACTGGGGTGGACTGGGGAGCACTGGGATGGCCTGGAGGGTGGTGGCCACCAGAGGGGAGGGTCTGGGCCCAGCACAAGCCCTGGTACCCACCGGGCCGCCGATCCCGCCTGCCTGTAGAGAGACAAGGAGACGTCACTGGTCACTGGGGTGTCCCCAGTGCCAGGAAGGGATGGGGGGCCCAAAGTGCCCCCCACTTCCCACACTGGGTGCCCCCAACTCCCAGACTTACCTCCCCACATTGGA